AATATAAAAGTTCTTCGATCAGATCGAGGAGGTGAATATTTGACCAATGAGTTTCGTGATTATTTAAGAGATAATGGGATTATTTCACATTGGACACCTCCTAGAACTCCACAACTAAATGGGGTTTCAGAAAGAAAGAATCAAACATTGTTGGACATGGTTCGATCAATGATGAGTTCCACTAGTTTACCTCTTTCATTCTGGGGCTATGCCTTAGAAACAGTAGCACATATTTTGAATAGAGTGCCAAGTAAAGTTGTACCCAACACACCTTATGAGATAAGGTGTGGAAAACACCCTCGTACAAGTATTTAAAAGTATGGGGTTGTACTGCTTATGTAAAGCAGTTAGTGGGAGGTAAGTTGGATATGAGATCCATCTTATGTAAATTTGTGGGGTATCCAAAAGAGTCTATTGGATACTATTTCTGTGACCCCTCTGAACAAAAGGTGTTTGTTTCGAGGAATGTTGTTTTCTTAGAGGAAGAGTTTCTCTCAAAGAATAGTGGAGTCATAGAACTTAATGAAGAACCACAAGAAATTCCACAAACACCACAAATAATATACCAGTAGAGACTGGACCATCTGTAACACAACCTCTTCGGAGATCTGAAAGGATTTCTAGGGCGCATGAGAGGCTATACCTATTGTTAGAGAACAATGAAGAGGGACTCCTTTTGGATAATGATCCAATAAGCTATGATGAGTCAATGTCGGACATTGACTCAGATAAATGGCAAGAAGCTATGCAATCTGAGATAAATTCCATGTATTCAAACAAAGTATGGACTTTGGTTGAACCACCACTGGGTATTGTACCCATAGGTTGTAAATGGGTTTACAAACGAAAACGTGGTGGAGATGGAGAAGTAAATACTTTTAAAGCAAGACTGGTTGCTAAAGGTAATACTCAAAAACAAGGAATTGATTATGAGGAAACTTTTTCACCAGTAGCAATGCTTAAATCTATTCGGATATTGCTAGCCATAGCTGCGTAATATGACTACGAGATATGGCAAATGGATGTGAAAACTGCTTTTCTTAATGGAAACATTAAGGAAGACATTTATATGAAACAGCCGCAGGGTATCATATCCAGTGGGAGCGAACAAATGGTTTGTAAGCTTCAAAGGTCCATTTATGGACTTAAACAAGCTTCGAAGAGTTGGAACATTCGGTTTGATGAAACGATCAAAACGTTTGATTTTCATCAGAATCCTGATGAACCATGTGTTTATAAGAAGGTTAGTGGGAATGCAGTTGTATTTGTTGTTCT